CCCCAGGTCCCTGGACGGCCGGCTGCAGGTGTCCCACAGGAAGGGCCTGCCCCACGTTATCTACTGCCGCCTGTGGCGCTGGCCGGACCTGCAGAGCCACCACGAGCTGCGTGCTGTGGAGCTCTGTGACTTTGCCTTCCACATGAAGAAGGACGAGGTCTGCGTCAACCCCTACCACTACCAGCGCGTGGAGACACCAGGTAAAGCCGGCAGGGCGGCGAGTGGCACCATCCGCCGTGGACAGAGCTATAATCTCACCTGTTGTAGTCAGAGGCCTCTTCTCTCCTGTTACTGTCTGTTGTGGAACCATCCACTGCGCTCGTTTAGCAGTGCGTCTGATGCAGTCAGTCTGAGCAGCTGACGTTTTCTTCACTAAGTTTGGTGGTTATGAGGAGCGTGGCGGTTCTGCTGCCTGCGCAGTCATCAGCGGCCGGCTTTAATGACCGCTGAGATGTTCCCCCGTTCCTCGGCAGTGCTTCCTCCAGTCCTCGTGCCGCGCCACACGGATATCCCGAGCGAATTCCCGCCGCTGGACGACTACAGCCACTCCATCCCAGAGAACACCAACTTTCCAGCTGGCATCGAGCCCCAGGGTAACTACATCCCAGGTGAGTGGGTGAGACAGACAGGCAGGCAGACAGGGGCCCAGTGTCTAGCAGAGTCACTCTTTCTCCTCGCTGAGGGTTTTCGGGTGGCGGCCGCTGGCTCCACTTCGCCCGGGAGGCCGTGCAGAAGTGTGTCAGGAGAGGAAATGGGGGAGAAGCCAAGAAGTAGCCGGCTCGAGCCGGGGCTCTTGGCACGCTCGTCGGAGCGTGTCCAGCCCTGAGGTGGGGAGGTGGGGGTTGGCAGGGACCCGCCTCGCTGGAGCAATGCAAAGCTGTCAGCCTCAGAGCTGACCGTGCTACGGAAGACACAGCAAAGGGCGGCCGAGGCCATAACCAGACCTTAAAGTAGACTTTCTTTATTTGCCATCTGTCATGAGTATATATCCCCTCCCCCCCCCACCAAGAACACTTCCTACCTAAGCTTAATTAACTGGCTTTGGACACAGCATGGCATCAGCCTGGCTCAGAGAGGCACGCTGCCCGGTTGGCTAGCTGCGGAGGGATTAGCTGGCGCTGTGCTGTAGCGAGAAGGCCTTGTTTATGATGTTCTTCGCATGTCTCAGAAACACCACCTCCGGGATACCTCAGCGAGGATGGAGAGACCAGCGATCACCAGATGAACCACAGCATGGATGCGGGTGAGCAGCGAGGGCTTCTCGCCCCGGCCTCCGCTGGCCGCCCAGGACCCGCCGGCTCATGTGCTTCTCGTCTTTCGACAGGTTCTCCTAACTTGTCGCCGAACCCGGTGTCTCCTGCACACAGCAACCTAGGTGAGGAGTGTTGCTGAGTGTGGCGTCATCCTCCGCAGATCTATGTGCACCGCATGTTCACTTCTGCTGTCAGGAAGCCCTTCAGATGAGATGCTCGAGTTCAAAAAAATATCCCGTTAAATTTTAAACCCTCACTCTCACCCCGGCAAGCTTGTCTCTCTGTCTCTGTAAAAGAAATCTGTGCCTCAGCGTTGGAAAAGAGGAGGACTTGATGCTCTCTGCAATTAGGTACTTGACCGCTCAGACCCCAGATCAGTGCCTCCTCTTCATTTCCGCTACAGTGGAGGGGTAACGTACTTCAGACTGTGCACTGCACAGAGCTGTGCAGAGGTGATGGCTGCCTGCATCCTCATTCCTAAAAATACCCCTTCAGATGATATCACCATCTCCCAGTGAGGAAGGGCTGACAGTTTTCTAGATGTACATCAAGTCTATTTTTGAGAGTACTTTGAATGACCCCCTCCCCTCCAGTCAGCCTCACTGGCAGTGAGAGACCCCTGACAGATACTCTAATGCCCATGTTTGAGCATAAGCAACAACAGGACAGACGCCATGTTGGAAGCGGTTCTTACATACGCGTTTCTCTGCAATATCTGCAGTAATGTTGGCCTTGAGGTCCCCGGCATACGCCGTCATTCCCTGACTGCTTTGACTCCCTTGCATCAGTTACTTAGTTGGCTGTCATTGGTCGAAACCATCAAAGCGACAGACCTATGGGTTTTGAAGTGGTTTCCGGTATTGCTGACAGCGGATGCAGGCAGACGGCCAGCGCGCCGCGCCTGTGGCTCTTATGTGACGCCTTTGAGGGCAGGGGGAAGCCGCTGGTGATAGGAGCCTTTGTTTTCCAGTTCACGTTATCGGCAAGATACCAGCCGCCTGCTGAGCGGACCATCGCAACATGACGAGCGCCTTCGAAATATATCTGTAATATATGTCAGGATTTACATGGCTGGCCCGGTGACTTCTGCTGTTCTGAGCCTGTGTTAAGATGAAAGGGTGGGGAGCCAATAGAGAAGCCTTTTCATTGTGTTTTACCAAGAGCTCCTCTTAACCATGTAATTTACCACTTTTGCCCCAGCCTTCCAGTTTCCATGTTTCCGCATCCCTGCCGTGGGTTTCTGGGGTCTGATGCAAAGGCTGATGTCAGAGTACCGTTGATCCCTTTGCCTCCTCCCTCTGACGTCCCTTGTTCCCTAATCCTCTCCGCCCCGTGGCTTGTCTCCTCTGGCAGACCTGCAGCCAGTGACCTACTGTGAGCCAGCCTTCTGGTGCTCCATATCCTACTATGAGCTGAACCAGCGCGTCGGGGAGACCTTCCACGCGTCGCAGCCCTCGCTCACCGTGGACGGCTTCACCGACCCCTCCAACTCGGAGCGCTTCTGCCTGGGCCTGCTGTCCAATGTCAACCGCAACGGCGGTGTGGAGCTGACGCGCCGCCACATTGGTACCCCTGCCGCTCGGCTCCCTCTGGGATCTGCCGCTTTTCAGCCCAGTAGACGTATTTAAATGGCGGGATCAGGCACCCAGAATCCAGCCTTCAAACTGATAAACAGCAGTAAGGGTTGAGGGAGCACAGTAGTCTGGATACTTCAGTGGTCATGAGGACCTGCATCAGTCAGAGAAATCTGAAATGAAAGGTATTAATGCCATTTTCATAGTGATCACTGGGCCAGCTGCCCTTAATTGTAATATAAGCCTTGTTTATGCATCACTGTGGTTGACTTCAGCCTTGGGTTGATGAGCCAGTGTGATGTAGTGATGTTCTTAAATCTGATGTATTGGGTTCCGGGTTTCTTTACACGAGTAACGGGCTGAGGAGAACTCGTCCAGCCTTTGAGGTGCGGTCGCTTAGCGCAGACTCGTCTCGCCCTCCCAGGTAGGGGAGTGCGGCTCTACTACATCGGGGGTGAGGTCTTCGCTGAGTGTCTCAGTGACAGCGCCATCTTTGTCCAGAGTCCCAACTGCAACCAGCGCTATGGATGGCACCCGGCCACCGTGTGTAAAATCCCGCCTGGTGAGCCTCACCCACGGGGGTGGGGGGGAGACCCAAGCGGCCGCCTGCCCCACTGCCCGCTAGCGCGTGTCTGTCACTGCAGCTCCTTCCCCTGCCAACGAAGCACTTCTGCTTGTTTGCCGTTCAGGCTGCAACCTGAAGATCTTCAATAACCAGGAGTTCGCCGCCCTGCTGGCCCAGTCTGTGAATCAGGGGTTCGAGGCCGTGTACCAGCTGACACGCATGTGCACCATCCGCATGAGCTTTGTAAAGGGCTGGGGAGCCGAATACAGGTGAGAGCTCTAACGATCGCCCCCCACCCCCCCAAAATACACACACACCTCTCTGGGGCTCCTAAATAAAGGGGAAATATTTACTGGGGTTTCCACGAGTCCCCTGCTGCCCCACCGACTGTCTTCTTTACTGGCAAACAATTTTTAAAGCTCACAAAACACTCGAGAGAAAAAAAATGAGCTGTTGGAGTTTGAAGTTTCCAAGCCTGTAGCGTCGCAGTGATTCAGACGCAGTTCAGCTGGCCATGCGTTCCCAGTGAGTCACGGGGTAGAGAGCTGAAGCGTGGGTCCGCAGCTCGGCGGAGCGTGCACAGCAACGGGCAGGGCTTGCGATTGCGTGACTCACAGCACTGCGCTTATCCTCCAGGGCTTGGGAAAGGGAGAGGGTGACGAGAGGGGAGGGGGGGCTGAAGGTGAATCACCACATGAGTCTGGCCCGTCTGATCTAGATGGGATTCTGCTGCCCTTCCATGCCAAGTTTTTAAGCGTGCTGCGTCAAGAAGCACGTGTAACCCCCATCCCAGCCTTACGCTATCATGAGTAAGCTCAGTGTTTGTGGGGGGGGAATCCAGCTGTAATTGGAGCCATTTGTACGCTCCTGACCAGGGAGATCTCCTGGGGAGCCCAGCTTATGAACTGATTTTGGAGCTTGGTCAGGTTAGAGCTCTTTCTCACGCACGGTTACTAGGGAGGAGGATAACGGTTTGACAGAGTCATCACAGGTGTCTTAGCCCCGCCTGTCAGGCCCTGACGAGTATCTGCATGTCCCGAGTAGAGATGCGAAATCTGAAGTCTGTTACAGCTACGGACAGAACTGTGCTCTATGAATGAATGTGTGTATCTAGATTTCTGCCCTGACTTGAGGCTGCAGAGCCAGGAGTAGGTACCTGCCCTGTTTAAGAAAAACGACCTTGATGCCCTTTTTATTATAAGCGAAGCATGTTAAAAGGAGGGAATGAAGCTCTGTCACTTTTGAAGCTAGAATATGAATCTGGCTGCTGGTTGTGTGGTGGGACATAGACAGTCTTCACTCCTTTAGTCTAGAAAGCTTTCGGCGTCGGCTTCTGCAGCACAGTGTGTTCTGCCTCCTCCGTCGTCACGGTAATAAGGCGGGAGGTGGTGAATGGCTGTCTGAGCCGCCGCCACGCATCACTCAGGCATTGTGCGGGCCGTGATCGCTCTGGCACCTGGGCGTCGCTTGGAGCGAGGGGGCCTCACAGAGGCTGTGAAGAGGATACTGCCTGCCAGCTCTGTGAAGGCCTGTATTAAAGAAGTCTTCGAAATGCAAAGTTCAGTCTCTGGAGGCAGGAATAGAGCTTCATCTCTATAGACTTTCAGAAGCTGAGGAATGGTCAAAAAGGAGTCTGAGTGCAGGAGTCTCTCTCTCACTCAAGGCTGGCGCTCTGCCTGCGTGAGACACAGCTAAGGGCTGAATTACTGCCTGGATATCAGGCTGCTACCAGCTTCATTTGTTTTATCTGTTAGCTTGTCTTGCCGTCAGAGGCCAGCAGAACGGCAAGATAGAAAAGTGCAACATCAGCTCCACGAGAGGTGAAAATTGCAGGGAAGACGCTTAACATCATTCTGGGTGTGCCCTCTCTCCCCCTCCAGGCGGCAGACTGTGACCAGCACCCCCTGCTGGATTGAGCTGCACCTAAACGGACCCCTGCAGTGGCTGGACAAGGTCCTCACCCAGATGGGCTCCCCCAGCATCCGATGCTCCAGCGTGTCCTAAAAAAACCAGGGGGGGAGGGGGGAAGCTTCCTCGGCACATACCAACGAAAGCACAGACCAAAACCCGAGACGTGAGAGTACTGCGAAGGGCCCACCCTCCCCCCGGTACCCAGCAGGGGGGACAAGCGCCGCCTTCGCTTCATGCAACCTTCTTAGCACTTTTTTTTTTTTTTTTTTTGTACTCCATGTGTTGGCAAAGGGGATGAGTGCATTACAGACAGTACAGCTAGTATGGTGTGTCCGCGTGGTCCTCGTCACTGCAGTATGGTGTGTCCGCGCGGTCCTCGTCACTGCAGTATGGTGTGTCCGCGCGGTCCTCGTCACTGCAGTATGGTGTGTCCGCGCGGTCCTCGTCACTGCAGTATGGTGTGTCCGCGCGGTCCTCGTCACTGCGGCTGTTTGGGGAGGAAAAAAATTGGCATTTAGTTGCAAACAGCTGTAGCATGTAAGCAGTGAGAGTGACTTTAAAACGTCAGCGGAATAATCTGCACATTTCAGTTGTACATATATCTCGTGTTAGATAATGAACCATGCTACACTTTTTTTGTATAGAACAAAAAAATACAGATTTCACTGAAATTGTACGGTTTTAGTTTTATTCATAGGCCAGAAGAATAAAGATTGCTGGAGGTTGATCATAAATATGCTAAATGTATAGTATGTATAGTTTCCATGAGGTATTCCGCCATTTTCGCCTCAGAGCAGCTCTTAAAGGGATACCCAGTAAGATGCTTTTATGCATCATGTTTTGTAAACCCCCCCCCCAGTATTTTTTTATTAGTACTCATAGTGTTAGTAGTTTAGAGCAGGGGCGGAGGTGCCTGTGTCTGAGTGATCACACCCGGCTCCTTGCATTGCGAGCTGCATGCTGCTCCTCGTCTGTTTCTTATCCGCCTTGAATGCACCAGTGAGGCTGCAAAGTCGCTCGGGTATCCTGAGTGTCCTGTACAATGCTTAGGGCCGCACTGCAGCCACGAAGACCCCTTCTGCCCTGGGATGTCACCATGTCGGGCAGCTGGCACAGCGGGCGCTAAGCCAGTCCCCAGCTGGGCGCGTGGTCTCTGCCTGCTGGGGGAGCCGCCCCACCTTTAAGCGGAGCCTCTGGTGCAGGCCGGACGCGTTCCCAGTGCGGGGTCACGTGTGCGTATGATTAGTGCTTTATGGCGGTAGTTTTCTATCGGGACTGTAAAATGCGTTCATTCAGTAGTTTATGCAGTAGTGCTTAAGCCAATCAGTATATTAACTTCTCAGTGTCTCTTGGACAAAATGCAGCTACGTTTGTTCCAACTCTGCCAAAGTGTCATGGTGTTTGGGTCTATTTTTAGATGCGCATTTTGACAAAGCTAAACATTTGAACAAAACTTTATGAAGAGAGAAACTGAACCAGTTTATTATATATATTTTTTGCATGAAAAAAAAGTCCTGTATTGAAAATACAGGAGTGTATTGCTATTTGCTTTCTTTTTTGCCATATGGAGGTGGCAGTGCAGAGCAATGAAGTGTGATTTAAAGGGCTCTGTGGCATTAACACTAATGGAGAAGAAAGCTCTAGAGTGCCCACCCTTGACAGAGTTGTGTGGTGCTTGCCCTGACCTCCAAGACACGGTATATAGGAGCGAGTGTGTCGGCAAGACACAGCGTATATAGGAGCGAGTGTGTCGGCAAGACATGCAGATACCTTCAGCTGGTATAACTACTGGGCTTCGTTTAATTGTTTTCAGGCCATAATCCCAGCTAACGTGACGGCGACGCCCGGGAGGGGCCCTTGAGACCAGCCATTTCTCCTGGTTACTGCGCGTGTGACGATACCAGAGCAGTGTGTGTCGGTAACAGGACCATCCTGGGTTTTAAACTAGCTTGAGGAAAGAATGGATCTTTATATATATTTCTATAAAGATGCATTTTCTGAAGTTTCCACTCTGTACAGTAGACTTTCGTACCAAGTAGATTTTTAGAAAGGTATTTATTGTAATGTGGTTCAACACAAACAATCCTCTGTAATGTACCAGGAAGAGGGGCAGATGGTGCGTCCTGCTACTCATGTCCACAGAACCAGCAGTTTGCAGAGGCTGGTTTTTAAAAGTGAAATTCCCCCCCCCCTCCCGATAAGCCCCCTTTCCCTTCCTGATTTGCTAAAAATTTCCAGTGAAGAATGTTTCTTTTAATTTGAAGAGCTGGTTTTTTCCTTCCCCACAGCCCTCAGACCCAGTGGCGTGTTCGGGTGCAGGGCGGGACCCTCGCTCTCAGCCCCCAGCCCCCAGGAGTCTCTCACATGATGGGTGGGCAGGTGCCAGCCGAGTATGGGGATGGAAAGCAGGCACACGCCCACTGCATAGCACGATGGTGCACGTGACGTTTAGCAGTTATTAAATCCAGCGCATTAGTCAGTGCTTTGTTTAGTTTGTCTTGTTTAGAGATGGTCTAAGTGGATACTGGTGGGTTTGAAGTTTTCCTTTCCAGTCAGCTTGTGTGTCCCCCTCAAGCTAATCTGTCACAGAGCGCACTGCACTGGTACAGCAGCGAGTCCCAGGCCTCTCTGCCGTGGCCCCTTCCTGTCATCAGGGCCTGGAGGTGTTCCTTCCACACCTGCACCCCAATCAGCCAGCCTGACTATTATAAAATGTCCTCTACGGATATTTAAAATTTATATTTTTAAAAATGTACTCATCCCCCGTTTCAGTACTTGTTCTTGATTTCCCAATGTAGCCTTTAATTGGTGCTTAGTCGTGTGTGTGTGCTTTTTCAGTCTTAGGTGTCCTTTTTGTATAAAAAAAAATATATCCTTTCCATTTAAAATATTGCTTTGTATTTTGTTGGTCTTTTAATAAATACTGAAAGTGAATTAAGCATTTTTCATCTTCTACAAAAGCGAACAAAGTCTCCGTGTGCCGCAGTGACAAAGTACTGTACTATAATTACGGTGAAAGACTATCAGCCCAAAAATACTCCAAACTGGGTCCAGCAGGGTCTCGCTGCTCTTAATGCTGTAGATCTGGGTCATACCCCCCCTCCCGTGAGTGAGCTTATGCTGTATGCTTTTCAGTCTGGAAATGTTCATTGACGCTGATGCACACACATGTTCCTAAATAAGGTCAACTTGAATGCCTCTTTCCAGCAAGCCAGTCCAGAAAATTTATTTTTATTTTTTTAAAGCTCCCTCCATTAGTTTCAGCTGCAGCGACCGCAGATCTGGGCTTTTCCGCCTGGCCATTCTAGCCTCCACTGCCTGGCTGGGGTGTCTGTTGGCCATGGGCGTTCCTTACTGGCAAACGGTGGACCCTCCTCCAAGCGGGGGGACGCCTTGACGCAGTCAAACCAGTTTCTTTCCGGCTGAGATAATGAGCGGTAATGTGGCCACCCCCCCCCCGACAGATGTTGTCGCATAATTACAGGCCTGCCACCTGCAGCAGGCAGCCCCTTCAGCTGCGGGGTTACGGGTCACATAGATCATAACCCCCCCACCTCACTGCTCTGATGTTAAGTCTGCAGTCACTAGCCGGGTGGGAGGGCAGGCAGGCAAAGAATGCATTTCACTCTCTGCAGCTGAGATTTCCGATGCAAAGAATAACTTTGGAAACAGGAACATCTGCTCACAGAATTGTTTATATTGGTGTACAATCTTTAATACAACTCTTAAAATACTATAATCACTGAAATTACCCTCCGGTTCCCATCTTATGTAACAAAACAATCTGTTCTGAAGAAATCTGAGAGGAGTTGCTGAACGTCTATACTGAAGATGAATCAAAAGTGGTTTGCTTTTGTTGAGTCTACTTCACATAATTATGGTAAAAAAACCCAGAGACATGCTTGTACACAAACCTTGTGGAGTGTAGTTTTTTTTTTGGACATCAGTAGAAGACAGTCTTGAAGGATGAGCTGAGAGCAGGTTGCAGTCTTCTGCAGTGGGGTATGACGCAAGGCCGTCTCAGACCCTCCACCATGATCAATGCTAAGTAACGTGCACTATGTCACTGCCCGTTACTGCCTCATGTCCTGGGAACACAGGGCATTACAAGCCAAGAGAAAGGTGGTCATTCTCAGCACCCTCCCCCCCCCCCCACAAAATCCTGGGTCCTGGACTTCGTGGGCCAAGAGAGAGTCAATGCAAGCAGACGACAGGATGGAGCATCTGCCAGCCAAGTATTAGCTGTCCTCTCCAGATGACAGTCCTTCAATCTCATCCTGGTCTCCTCCAATCGCCATCCAGAAGGCTTTGGCGACCTGAGGGACAGACCGGCAGTGTCTGTCAGGACTTACAGCTGCAGCGAATCAAGGATTTAAACGCCGTTACAAAGCACAAAGCCACCCCCCATACAGCTGAATCTCACCTGATAAAACGTCATCAAATTCCTTTTAGATTTCACAGCTTGTAGGTCCCTTTATGTTCAAAAAGCACTATTGATAAATACCACTAGGGTACCTATTTCTAATACAGACTGACATATAAAACACCTGCAGCAAAACCCAGCTCCGTAAAGCTAATTTTACAGAAACACTCCTCCAGACGCCTATAATTAAAACAAGCAAACCATTAAAAAAAAAGTTTTAATGTAACTAGCCACCATATTATTGAGTATCATTAATTCCAGACAGTTAGGGTATCATTTTTGAACATTAATAAAAAATGTTAAATCTAAAATTGAGCTTTATCTATCCGAATTATCAAAACCCCACACGAAGATACCCAAGTACTCATTGAACAATGTGAAACTTATATATATACAGTATATATATATATAATCTCCTTATAAGAGATATTGGTCTCAGTTGTCCCACTTCTCTAAGTGCATGAACCTGAAAAATATTAGGAGGTACAGTAACAGTTAAAAAGGCTCTAAAGCCCCCCCCCCCCCATGTCTGTCATTGAACAAACAAGGTAAACCATAGCAAACAATCTGCATCCTGTTCCTGCAGTTGCAGACACCACACCTGCGTTATTACAGTGACACACCAACGCAGACCTTGGCAGTCACAGTCTTTGCACACCGTCCTGTACAGTCACTGCTGCCTGCCACAGTGTGGTCATTCAGAGGGCACCGTAGGTCAGTGAGGGGGCTCCTACCTTCTCCGCATGGACCTTCCTCTCTTCGTGGGGTAACGAGGACGCCTTATCTGTTATTCAAAGAGATCAGGAGAAAGACTTAAGATTCCACTGTGGATCAGTGGTGCAGGACTCTGGAATAAGACCATTTTAAAATCCTCACATGCAGCAAAATGATTTATTGAGCGAATTTTATGTACAGCGCTTCTTTGATAATGATATACTGCACTACAACATTGTCCAGCACTGTGGAAATCCAGTATTTCCATTTAATGAAATTGTTAATCCTTAAAAATAATGAGATCTCTCTGTGATGCATAATCTATGACCCAGTGTTTTTGTTTTACCTTTCATCTCCTTTAGTTTGGTAAATAAGCGTTCAAAATTTTCAACATCTGCATCCCCGGTTGTGAGACTTGCTAGTTCCTGGATGTCTACGTCTATTGTGGGGTCTGAGGAAGTTGAACATTATAAGATAAGTAATAATACAAATACCACGTGATATCACTGTTCGGCTTCACTGTCCACTCACCCAGTATGTTATTCCCTGGCTCAGCGTTGGCAGCCATTTCGGTCCTCTCTTCCGCTTTGTTACCACTGGCGCCCTCTGCTGGCGGGCGGGGAGACTGTCAGACAGGACACGATTAACAGTTGATGTGTCATTCAAAGAAATTAAAAAGGTAGAAATCCTTAACAGTCATACTGAACACACATACTTCATTAATTTTTAAAGTATACATATATTTAAACAGGAGAATACTGGCACTGACGTGGGACTCCTGGCTTGCGTGGCGGTTGTTATTTCGAGACGCTACCAGGCTACTCATCAAGCCGATACCTTGGCTGTGCTCTGTGAGAAGGTGGAGAAGGTGAGATGGTGCTTCAGCAGCAGCGCGCTCAACGCATCTGGACACTTGAGAATGAAACACGTTTACACACAGCCCCCCCCTGTAAGCAGGACATCTCACAGGATGCAGGTATTAACTGCAGGAGGGCAAAATGTAAAGGCCGAGCGGAAAATGAGGTGATGGGGCAGCCATCAGCCCCCCCAGCGCGAATGACAATCGCCCCCATAGCAGCTTAGGTCACTCAGAGTGCTGTCTGTCTGCTGGGTATAAGTGTTTTAATTAAGAAAAAGGGACCTCATTTTTCCAGCAAAACCGCCTCTCAGCCAGTGACAACAAAGATGTCACTACTATAGAAAGCAGCCATTTACACAGAAGGATGCTCAACCTTAAGTGACGAATGACTCATTGCAATAAACACCTCCACCCTACCTTCCTTCATCTCGACGGTCGACCAGACATTGGCATTGAGTGCCTGGACGATCCTCTTCACTCCTGTGGATTCTGGAAAGTCATCTAAAAAGGAGACGGTGGAGGTCAGGCGAGTGAGAGGAGGGCAGGAGAGTGAGAGGAGGTCAGGAGAGTGAGAGGAGGTCAGGAGAGTGAGAGGAGGGCAGGAGCCATGGCGCCTGAATGGCTGCTGGCAGCACCGTCTCCGGGTCTCACCGTCCTCGTCCGGCAGGTCCTCAGGGTTAAGCTCCACCAGCTCGAAGGTGTGGGACAGACACCACTGCTGTGCCTGATGTCGGCTCACTCCTGCGGGGGCGACACACCGGCTCACGTCCGTGCACCCCGGCGCTCACTCCCCCACCACCCCCACTAAGACCGGACCGGAGAGAAGAGACCTACCACTGTCCAGCACGTGGTCACAAACCAGGATGAGTATCTCCGGGGCCAGCTCCTCCACCACAGGCAGCCAGGGTAGCACGCCGCTCAGACCCCCGCTCTCAACACATAGGGTAAGAGCGTCCACAAGGTCAGAGAGATGAACACACGACACAGAGGAAAGCCAGTCTCACCGCATCGGTCTCTCCCTCCCTCTCACCTCTCTGCTGTCAAAGTAGATGATGAAAGCCTGCACCGCCTTGGCAATGTCCCCCGTCATCTGAAACGTGCTGGGCACCACGCACAGGCTGACATCTGCCGTGTAGTACTTATTGTTGATGGTCCATGGATACCAGCACACTGCCCCCTGCTGTTGGGCAGGCTCTGGCAATATCGATACGCCAAGGATCTCTGAAAACAAGGATTTACCACATCTGGTAAATGTGCTGCATGTCGGATTTTCGCTACAGTGCAAACCAGGTTACCGATTTACAATCTCTCCATTTAATTATGGTTCACCCGTTACGTTTTTACTAGGGATGCAACGATCGATCGGCTCGTGACCGGAAATGGCCGCGACAGTACAGTACAACACAGACTGATGCGAAAAAGCTATTTCAGCCTGCATAACATCTCAGCGCTGTTAGTATATCTCACTTCTTTGTCTCAGTTGATATCAATTTAGTGACTAGATCTCGAATTAAAAACTTAATTGATCTTTTTTATCCAGTTAGCTAGCTTGTGGAAAAACAAACTTTATATACCATGGGACTGCTAAAAATACTGTACTCATGTCACACGGTAAGCAGCACATGGTTTATATGCGGGTCGGCTACACTGCTGAATAAAGTGCGACTTGACTGCAAAAAAGGTTCTGCTTTGATTGGTTTGTATTCGCGAAATCTGTCACAGACTAATGTACCATATTTTGTAAACTTTGCAAAGGTACCATTCACAAAAAAGTTGCCAACACAGCTGGTCTTTTTAAATGACAAACATTACAACATACAAAATATTCTGATCCATATTGTAGATTGTGCTTAAAGCCAAAAATGTCATGACGACATTTTGGCCATATTGCTCACCCCCCCAGTCTCTGTCCACAGGTTCTATCACCCACCCCTCACCTTTCCTGCCCCCACTAATGCTCTGTGATAGGTGAAGTACGACACTTTACACTGTGGGATGGAGACATTAAATTCACAGTTTGTAAGTCATAAGTCGTCCCTGGAGGAAGTACCGTTAAACTATTTGGAACAACCAATTTAATTTGATACTTGCGTAAGCATTTTTTTTTTAAAAGGTCATTTAAAAAATTTTGCTTGCAGAAAGCCAAGTTCAGTAAAGAAGTGTGAAAAATGTTTAGTTTGCTAATTATTATGAGACTAAGACAATCGGAATCAGCCAGAAAAGGTTTGGGAAGGTCAGGCTTAAAATGAAATTGGCAAATGGGTTTGGCTATGGGAAATACGATTGGTGCAAATCGGGTTTGGCTATGGGAAATACGATTGGTGCAAATCGGGTTTGGCTATGGAAAATACCACTGGTGCAAATCGGGTTTGGCTATGGAAAATACCACTGGTGCAAATCGGGTTTGGCTACGGGAAATACCATTGGTGCAAATCGGGTTTGGCTACTGGAAATACCATTGGTGCAAATCGGGTTTGGCTATGGGAAATACCATTGGTGCATCTCTAATTTTACAGATCTAAACCAAAGCTTGTGAAAAAAGTGCCATTTCAGTATTTCACTGTTTGAACCTTAAAGATTCTGCTCTACATTCCAAGAGGGATCACACAGTCTATAAAAAGGACAACTTTTTGTTGTTGCTGCATTTAATTCGGAAAGGAGCGTTTGCGTGCTTCCTGAGCGTGAGGCGTCAGTCATGCCGTGATCTTAATCCTCTCCCCGCTGCTACAGAAAAGCTTCAGCACCAACGGTAATGTGGCATTTCCATTAAAAATCAGACCTAAGTCAGAACTAAATATGGGTCACATCTGGTTTTGTCATGAACTCCATTCATTCCCAAACCTGGGTGTCTCCCCCCCGCCCCAGCTCAGTGGAAAGGAGAACGGAAATCTGACCGAAGGTGGCCAGCTTTTGGGGCGCATGCGGCTGACATCTGGTTTTCTTCGAGATGAGAGGAGAGGAGAGGATGAGTGACTGGAGGGTCACTGTCACCCAGTGACCGTGCTGTCATGCTTGGCTCAAGCAGGAACTGCTCAATCCATCAAACCAGAGGCCCGTCAGCATTAACAGGGGCACAACTTCCTGAAACTATTTATCCAAATGCAGACTCACCTAAGGTACTAATGCCCAGAAATTTCTACCAGAAGAGTAGGTTTGCACAGATCAAACATTTTCTTTCTTCAAATGTTTGGCTAATGTGTGAAAAAAACATGTGACTGGAGGTACTATAATGTAACAACTGACCTTTTAATAAACGATTAAATGCCATTATAACAAAGTGAGGTATCTCCTGATCAAAATAAATATGCAACCCCATTAATTATTATTGGGGCTGTTGCTAGGGGAGTTTCTAGCTATTGAAAAGATCCGAGTCTAAGCCAGGTTTACCTGGGGCTTGACTTATTTGTTTTTGAAGGAAGATTGGCATCGGGGGCAAAATACCCGGGGCTACAGCCCCGAGTGATCGTACCTAATGACGCCCATGGCTGTTGCTACTCGGCACTTTTGACTGCGGGTTGCTGCTCTGGTCCCCACAAGCCAGCTAAACACTGCCACCTAGCGGAAAGCAGCCAGATGCAGCATCGTGGCCTTTAAGACCAAGACAGAAGTTGTAACATGTAGCCGAGCAGTTGTAACATATTATACTGCATGTGTCTGCTTTTTAATTCATGAGAAGGCAGCAGGTGTTCTGATGAGTTGAGCTACCTATCGAGACGTGCTATCGAGCCTTTCTGCGCATGAGCAGTTCCACCGTTTTAGGATTAGGTTTTAGGGGTTAGGGTTAAGGTAAGCGTTGGGGGGGGGGGCGCTATCGATTAGCACTACGGTAGCCTAACTCGACAAAGTAGCTCAACTCGACAGACCACCGGCAGCTCGCTGTGTAAGTTATTACCGAAGTTGCTGGCCGTTTGAAATGACAGACAGCTCCATTCACACTTTCCATAGCTACTAAAATAATTCTTAACAGACACAAAAAAATTGGTATTTTGGAATACTGGACCGCTGTAATACAAATGGGGTTTCTATTTTTACAATTAACGATGCATGCTTAAAACGAATACAGAAAAAAATACATCTCCGTAATACTGTACACTGGAAAGCGTGCATTGCTCGCACGAGCCATGGAACACATGCAATGATTTAATATCAGCTTCACGGGGAAGGTATGAAACATTAACTGCGGTGTGTCGCCATTTAATTCTCACGGACGTTAACGCAGAATAAACGACGATGATCTGTAGGAAACAGGCAGGGTGTTTAAACCCGCACCGCGCAGCAGCCGGCGGGCCTCGGGGGGAACAGCAGCCAAGGGCGGCGGGTTAATGCGAGGAGCCAAAAAGCTGCAACCACTAACTAACCCGCCTGAACAGCCAGCGAGACCGCGGCGAACCAGCGCGGAAAGCAGCGGCAGCTGGGCGGCCCTGGCTCGCTGTCACCTTTATCCGTGTATCGCCGAGGGTCCGGTGGCCGCTTCGGGTAACGTTCTCGGTTAGCAGCCCAGCTAGCCGGCGTGTGTAGTGTTCGCGTCGGCCACTTACGCTTAACCAAGTCCCCCTCCTTGAAACCGGGGTCGCAGCTCGTAATGAGGACGCAGGGCAGCGTCGCCGGGCCGCCATCCTGCGCGGCGGACATGTTTACGCCGGGAGCCGGCTGCCGAAACGCGGCCACACGCCGAGGCGGAACGCTGCAGCTGGGAAGCGCCGAGGCGGGGGCAGCTCCTGCTTCCAGCTGGGGGCCGGGCGCGGCGTCGCCTCCGTGGGGGGCGCGTTTGCTGATAAACGATGCGATGAATCCCGACGAAGTCAGCTGCACGGTCTAGAAGGGGCATGGAAGGGCCCTGAATGCTTCCGGGATACCCAATGTTCTTTTATAAAAACCTCCATTTACGTTACGCTGAACAATCATACTAAAACAACAAAGATGTCATAAATGCCAGGAAAAAAATGTTATAAACTTCAGTAATTCTAATTCGGTGGATTTCTATGTATTTTAGAATATAAACATTAATTGTTAAAATGCATATCGCCACCTAGTGGACTGGGGTGTAGCTTGCACAACGAGAACGTTCACCCTCCGCAAACACAAAACGTGTTTAATTTCTTCATTTTAACTTTCAAATGGTGATTAAGTTACTCCATAATAATAGACCCAAATGTGAATAATAATAATAAATGAAAGCTTATTTTTCCCGGGCGGTATAATACCTTATAAAATCCGATTTGTTCAACCTATGCATACAAATTACTTTTAGTTGTATATTTTAACACTTTAAACAGCAAATTAATTTCTGTCGGTGTTGTAGAGAAGTATAGAATGGGAATAGAAAAAGGTTTAAGAAAAGCATTTTATTATTAAAAAGTATTATTTTAAATAGTACTTATTTTAAAAGCTGATTAATTTAAAATGATTTTATTGAGTTGGTAGGCTATATGCTTTAAACTTAGGCCTATGTATATATCATAGCTAAAGTCAGTTCACAGGTGACGTTATTTAAAGGAAGGCCCTCTATCCATGTTTTATACATACATCTCGTGGCAAAGACGTTGATATTCTTTGCTGAAATAGTCCAATGTGGCATCGCCTCATACATCGATTTCTACCAGAAATACAATTACTTTCACCTGTCACAACCTGCAATCTAATACGGATGTCTGTCGCGGCGTTGTGGTTTCACCTCCCATGCAGGTTTTACCTCAGATGAATTAAATTCTGCAATTTAGTGGTTTTGACAAAAATATGACTGTTGCTTAGACAGCAATCAAAGTTATGCCTCTCGCCAGCAGTGAATGTTTTTCTAATCTTCAATGAAAAATAGAGAGAAACATTAATCTGAAATGTAGTGTCACTGATGTCAAGCATTCATTTTCATATAACCCCCATTAAGCTTACTGTTTAACTGTCTATTACAAGTGTCTATTAAACCTGAAATCCGTGTAACAGGATATTAAGCTGGAAAATAGCATGTCTTGTCTCTTTTAAATATATAAATCTCATACAAATATCCATCATCTGTATTATTAGTTTAAACACTGAGGCAATTTTATAAATCAGCTAAATTCCCTACATCAAAACAGAGGCGGTCTGCGAAGCGCTCCGCGTTAAGATTGCTCATACTGATTGAAATAATTGCTTTACTCAGAAGCAGCATTATCACTGAATATAATACTGCCGTTCGGCATGATTAAAAGATGAATGAATCCCGTTTTAACGAACAGTATTGGGAAGCATATCACACCGGCAATACAGCGCGCATCGGCGGCGTTTTCGTTGCGCATTTCCGAATATGCAGGTTTCACGCAGCTCAGAACAGGCGCAGTTTCCATGTACTTCCGCTGTTCGTGTCTTTTCTTTTTCCGCAATGTGAGATTATTTGGCAGTTGGATACATGTGTCGCCCCTGACTGTTGACTCGCTGCTTTGCACCCTATCGTGTATCGTCTGATTCTTTCCGTTCTTTCGGGAATTACCGCAGGTCACCGTGATTCTAACTAGCTAAGTGGTTGTTATTTATTACTCACAAGATACATTGTTTATCTTGCACAAGATACATTGAAATTCCTTAGCTTTTTTTTCATTTTGCTCTCTGAGAGATACAGTTTTGGTGTCAGAGTGTCGGCCCCTTGAAGTACTTGGGTTGAGGGCCTTGTTCAAGGACCCAGTAATGAAGCAGTCCCTCTGCCAGCCACAGGAAGTGAACCTATGCCCTTCTAGGCATAGGCCCTGATCCCTATTGCAGTGGGTTGCGCCCCGCCGCGTTCCACCCAGGGTACTTACATTTGCTTGTAGAGACACGGATTGATCTAGTAAGTTTAATGTGTGCAGCTGAGGTATGTGACTACCAGGTATACGTTCTGGTCCGAGTGCTGAAATGAAACAGTGCAAAATTATCTGACATCTTCATTGGAAGTGTGACGTCTAAGCTGGAACGCTGACTCCAGAACCTTTAAGGCACGGTCAGCGTGAGGCAGACTGACCAAACGCCACCCAAAGCAATTAACCAAATAGGAAAATGAATCCCTTCCCCAGCTATCTTTGGAGGAATTGCAGGTTGCACTTTGCCTGCAATAATCTACTTTTTTTCAGGGTCCATACATCTATCCATCCATTCATGGATCCTCCTTGGCTGCCTATCCAGTGCAGCATCAAGGTGAGCCTGGAATCTCCTGCTGGAGGTCCAGGCCACATGGCGGGGGAGATGGTGGTCCGTCGCTGGGTATGTATTCATGCACCCAGGCCAAATCAGGGACACCACTGCTCATAACCACATGTTTTTGAAGGCAACCAAGGTACTTATCCTGAATACACCCAGGGAAGAGGACGCACATGCACAGGCACAGAAGCAGAGGGTGAGCTTTGGACCCCAGGGGAGCGGCTGCAGTGGTACCCCCCTCTCCCCGTACACATATTACTGAGAGAGTAATATGTGTAATGAAGCGATCTTGGCGCTTTCTCAGCTGAATTAAATATGGAGTTAGTACTGCACATGAGGGATTATTGAGTTTTGGAGGCCTATGGTCTTGTTATAAGAATATGGTTCCCATTGTGCATACTTCCCGCTTTTATGAATTTTTCCACTGAGGATATTGACTTTCTGCTGCTTCCATTTAGCTGAATACAGCACATCAATACGGGCTTGTCCATCCTCCGGGAAAAATTTGATTAGGAATTATTACAGGAATTATTACAGCTAATTGAGATGAATTGGATGTTATTATATGATGATGGACTGGATTTCAGGCTCCGTTCATTGCCCGGGACCCGGCAGATTAATCGGCCGCCACCATTGCGGGCGGCGGAAGAGCGATAGAGAGCTTCCTGCTAACAGATGACGATAGTCAGCATCCTCGCAACCAGGAGACACGGGAGTGAAGGTCACCCAGCCCGACTATGACAGCAAGAACATTTGTTGGTAAACAAATTAATCTTTCTAAAGGTCGCCATTTGTTCCACAGTAACTTTTTTTTTTTTTTTTTTTGCCTGCCCTGCTCGGTGTCGCTCCGCCCCCCCCCTCCCAATCCTGTCATAAGGAATAGGGCCGGTGCTGTCACTCTCCCGTATGCAGGGTGATGCGTGCGACGGCTGCTCGACCAACGGGGCTGCACATTGTGACGCCTCAGCATCCTGCAGCGCCAGCCAGCACCTGATTGCTGCGCCATGGGCTGCTAGTTTACAGCTGTCTCAAGACAGGAGTGTGTACCTGGCCCTGCATGCCAATAGGAGGGGTGCCTGCATCCCCAAATGGTGCCCGCTGGCCGCCTGCCCACCGCCTGCCCAGCTTCGGCACTCCTCCACCGCTGCCGTCTGTGCAGACAAAGCTGCTCTCGCACTTCATTTTGTCGTCCTGCTTTTTTTTTTTTTAATTTCCCCGACGCCGTAAAGACAGATGTGTGCCTTTCAAAAGAAAACCGCAAGCACCTGGCGAGTGCCTGAGCTCCGTAGGAGACCAGCGGCACGAAAACGATTGAGCAAGCAGAATCGCACGGCCAACACGGAACGGCGCGTTACTGTATTAAAAGTCTGTGCTTCTTGTGCTCAACTTTGGTTTAACAGATTGTGCTCGCAGTATGTAAGGCTTTGCTCTTTAAAAAAGCCACTGGCCTGAACACAGTTTTAATACTGCAGCTTGAAATGCAGTGAGAAAAACCAGGATCAGAATGGAAGAGGGATCATTCTGTGTTTGCACCCACTTTCTTGGCTTGGTTATTTGTTGAAAAACCCTGAAATACATTTCATTGTATTTATTTCTTACATAAAAATGAATTGTTAAACAGAAAGAAAGAAAGAAAGAAAGAAAGGAAGAATGAATGAATATTAAATTCCAATCACAGCACTGCAAATAATCCGACACATGATTGTCTTGGACAGGATGGTTGTGTTGCCTGTCTTAGACAACACAAGGCTAAGGTCCATCCTGAATGACAAGCCAGTTTGCTAATCATTCTTTAAATTATACGTTAAGCTGTACCTGCTATAAAGAAGATGAGGAACGGACAGGCCAAAGGTTTTTGATGCCACAGAGTGTCGTAAACTGATGACCGAGGTTGAATTACAGATTGACGGCAGGCAAAGATACTGGACAGGCAAAGAAGCGCAGCTGTCCAGCAGGGAGCGAGAGGAAAGTTACCAGCACGCAAGGTGGCCGGTCTGCAGCAGCGGTGACGGCGGCCCTTCTCACCGGGCCTCCCCCGCGCCGCTGCCCGTACAGGTGGCGCCTCACGCAGCCACGCACAAGTTCCGTAGCTATGGAAACCATTGCAGTGTCACTGGCGTAAGTGGGTGGGGATTAATTATGATTGCTGTGAGAGAGAACATGTTCAGTGCGAAGGCACACCATCAGAATTCAGACCCCAAAGCAGTCCAACTGGAGGAATAAATAAATTACACAAATGCTGAAATTGCCCCCCCAACCATAATTGACCAAAGCAGTGCCAACTCATGATTGATTGCTGCGGGGAAGGAGCTTATTGGCTGGTTTACAATGTCATTATCTGCTGTGACTTAGCGCTGACGTTCAGTAATGAATGCAGGAAATCTGTTAGCTGTAACTACATATTCACACGTACATGCAATCATAGCCGCACCAAAGACAACAATAATCTGACATTCACACGGCGGTGCTGCACTGATTAATAGATTTTTTTCCCCTGATATTAAAAAGTTTTGTTGAGAACTAAGTCCAACTTGAAGCCAATACAAATATTTAGTAGGATATTGGAAAAGTGTCTTAGTGTTTCAAGTAGTAGTATAGTAGTAGTATAGTAGTAGTATAAAATATCAGAATCTTTTTTTTTTTTTTACATACAATTAGCATCACTATCTGCATTATTTACAAAATACTTTTTATCAGCCTGATTGTTTAGAAAAATTAAGTAGCATTACAGCCAAATTTAGAATAAAAAGAGTGAATGATTATTAGGAAGAGGAATTCATGGGAACAAATTAGTGTTATAGTGGTATTATTACATTTCTGAATCACATAAACGCAATAAAT